TGGATGGGTCTTCCAGCATGACAATGACCCGAAACATACCGCCAAGGCAACAAAGGAGTGGCTCAAGAAGAAGAAGCACATTAAGGTCATGGAGTGGCCTAGCCACTCTCATTGAGGTCTTCAGACCTCAATCCTATAGAAAATCTGTGGAGGGAGCTGAAACTATTCAAATATTTGGAGTAAGTAAGATTAAAAAAAATAATAATAATACTCTTATTACCAAGTCATTAAATTGCTAAAATGTTTAAAAAATATATATTATTCCAAACATTTGACAGGTAGTGTAAATAAAAAATTATTTATCTTATTTTAAACGTGTGCTCTGCTGTGGTACTGTTGTTTGACTAGCACTTTCTAGGTTCAGTTTTAAGAAACCAGAATAACATAATGCAAAAGTTTATGATGTCAAATTGAAGTACATGTGCCCTGGAGGCTGGTGCAGGACTGGAACAGGGTGGAGACAAGGGAAGCCTCCAGGGCGGGTCAGGAGGCCATGGCGGAGCAGGCAGTTCAGGGTGCCATGACGGAGCTGGGAGCTCAGGGGGCCATGGCGGATCAGGGGACTCAGGAGGCCATGGCAGATCAGGAGACTTAGAAGGCCATGGCGGATCAGGAGACTCAGGAGGCCATGGCGGATCAGGAGACTCAGGAGGCCATGGTGGATCCTCCGTGGCCTTAGCTGGCTCGGCCACGGGTATATGGCCCCCCCCCAAAAAATATTTTCTTGGGGAAAACTAGGAATTCTGGAGAGCGCTCTGGAGGAGCGGGCACTTGAGGGCGTTCTGGAGGAGATTCAGAGACTTGAGCCCTCCCTGGGCTAAACGGGGAATCAGGAGCCCTCCCTGGGCTAAACGAGGAATCAGGAGCGAGCTCTGGGGCTGGAGCCGACACTGGAGCGAGCTCTGGGGCTGGAGCCGACACTGACTGCCTTCTCCTCCTTAGGTTCTTCTTCCGGTTCGGGGTGAAAGGCGTGGTCGGCGGGCTAGATTGCTGAACGGCCGGCGGGCTTGCCACATGAACCGCCATAGGAGCGGCCGGCGAACTTGACTCGGAAACGGCCGGCGGAAGGGTTCCGGATCGGGATCGGAGGTTTTCCAGGCACCGGATGACTGCCTCCTTCCAGTCGAGGTTGGTGGTGTCTGGGAGCTCCGCGGAGCGATAGTATGTTATCCCGAGCCAGAACAGAGTCATTAGGGTTTCCCCCTCGAGGGAGCTGGCGAGGGCGAGCGGCACGAACGCCCTCGCGTAACTGACAGGGTCGGGGTTCGCCTGAGCTACGGCCATGAAAAAAGCTTGTTCCTCCATGTTAGTGGGGAGGATTGAACAGGAAAAAACAAAACACTTTTCAAAAAACGGAAAACAAACACGGGTAGAAGGGGTGCTGCTTACAGTCACGGTCGGTTCTTCTGTCACACTTAAGGCCGATCTGCGTTGGACCTATGCCGTAGGCTATGCGTCAGTTTTCATTTATACTTCTGCGTCGTTGTCCGCGTCAACGTGCAGTAGACATGCAAACCGCTAGTCTGCAGTGTCCACGGGCAAGTTGCTGATGTAACCCGCAGTACCACGGTAAAAGCCGAAGAAGAAGCAGCTCGTTGGAGAAGCATTATAGCCGTGACGGTGGCAAATAAATATCAAATCATTATTTTTATTTTATATAAGAAGGTGTAACATTAAAATATATTAAAGAGAACATAAACACACAAAAAACTCAAGTATATACGGAGGGAGGGGTTCTAGCAGACCAATCACAGCGCTTGCGGTCTGCGTAGAATTGACGCGCTGTTAGATTTTTGGAGAGGTGCACGACAGGCTACGGTGTATGGGTGTGCGTCTGTGTGTAAGCTACGGCGTAGGTTCGATGCAGAAGTATAAATTGGGCTTTACTCAAGGAGCACGGAACGAGGAGACACGGAGATAGCTTCAAATAACACTCTTTAATGCCTCAAAAGACCAGGAACGTCTGGAGACACACAAGGATGACATTCAAGAACCGACAAACACTAACTGAATGGACTGGGGCTTTTAAACACAGGATAATCAGGGAGGAACGAGACACACCTGGAATCAAATAAACTAATTAATGAAACACAGCTGGACACAAATGATAACCAATGAGGACAGGACACAGGAAGAACCAAATAAGGGCAAACAGGAACATACACGTGACAAAATCGTCACTGCAGTTTATTGACTGAAAAAGATCCTGTTTGTACGTGTCAAGGCTTGTTATCTATCCAAATGACCCACAGCCTGTAACTGTTAATCAACACTACTAGGAAGTTCTTAATGGTAAAGAAGACCAGCATTTGATGAAAGTCAGAAAAATAAATCATAACTGCAAGTCGGACAACAAAGAAGGGGCCATCTTGAAGAAAAATAGTTCCCGCAATGTCCCATATATCTGTCCTGAACTTGGAGATGAGAGAACCATCCTGGCCTTCACAAAAATCTTCAGGTTTGGTGTTCACTACTGAGAGATGCCAATGAAAAACAGGAAAGAACTTTACAACAATGACTAAAATTATATCGTCGTTCTTGGTTATGGTTATGCATACTTCAGATTCTGCATCTATAATTACTTTCATAATTAATTTCATATTTTTGTGTGTAAAACAACAGTTATGGAAGGGTACAGACCTGAGAAATGCAAAGGAAACTGTAGCATGCTCAATGTCCAGACCGCAAGAATAACGCACACAAATTGTATACTGTCCTCCCTAGAACAAGGAACAGAATATAATGAAATATTAATGACTAAGAAAATACTGTAATGCCACATTAAAACCCTTTTTTCACCTCAACTGTTTTAGCATTTGGAAAATTAACCCTGTAAGCTTAATATATGAAATAATAATCAGATTAGTTTTTTTTAATTGAACAGTTTATTGTACATTTAAACCAAATCTTAAAAAAATGCATTTGTGATTTTTGTTGAGCACCATATTTGAGGCTTTTATGGTTCATATAGTATGACATTGGAGAATATGGAGCTCATACCCGATGACGAAAAAAGCCTCAATTTTATTCAGAAGCAAAAGTATGCAATTTGGTGTCATTTCTAATATTTATATGGTAGCTATAAATATGGTTCTGATAGCTTGTAATGTAAATCAATGAAATCTTTATGATAATATAGCAGAACAATATCTCCCAATAATTTGTTTATGATCAAGTTTATGATCAAAGTCATGTACACATAATGCAACGCAATACAATGATAATTGAGAGAGCAAAAGCCTGATATATCATATTTGCTACTCACATTTTAAAGTGTTTTCAAATAAATATAATCTAGTAAATCTAAGTTGCTTCAGTTCAGTAAACAAAAATCAGTATAGATTTCACAACATAATGACAAACACTGCACCACAACCTGAAGAGGCACTTTTTCAAAATTATGTTTAGAATTTAGAGGCCTTAGAAATTGTGTATCAAATATGATACAGTAGGCTTTACAGAGTTGCACTTACCTAATAGAGATACCACTGAGAATTGAGATAAATGTAAAAATGTAGACTATGCAGGTCTTTTTTAGTCTCAAACAACACTTACTCCACATCATTGAGCGTCTCACTGATGAACTCGAGGATATCAGCAGTTGTGCCCACAAAGATGAGCAACAGCTGGGATATTTCATCTCTGGTGACCCCTCCAGCGATCGGTAGCATCCACTTCCCCACTATCAGCAGGATCAGGACGATTTGCTGAAGGGCCAGGATCCAGTAATTGGCACAAACCGATGACAAAAATTTCAGAGGGTCCTAAAATAACACCACAAAGTGAGTATTCCGCTATGAAGTATTGCTCTAGAAGAAGCGTGATCTCAGAAGAACTGAGATCACGCTTATATAAAGCATGTCCTGTAAATCTCATAAATTATGTGAAGATGTAACTTCAAAACAAATAACAGTAGTTCTGAACGCAGGTCTTGTTGGTCCTGAGGGCTGAACCAACATTTGTATTTGCAAATCACCAAAACTAGATGTTGTGTTTTAAAGGCAAAATGGAGTAAATAAACTGTCTGAGATTCATAAATTACTGTAGTCTAGACTTCCAAGGAAAATGTCTGTAATTGGTATGAATGGCAAAGAGGCAGCAGCCTACCTGTTGACTCACACTTCCATTGGTCAAATTTCTCCATTCATCAAGAAAGGCTTGAATGCTCTCAGATGAATCCAGATTAGTACACTGCAAAATGTAATGCAGATTCACCCAGGTTTTTATTTGTCTTAAGTTTTTTAGGCCAGCGTGAAATGGGTTTGCACAGAAGAGAGAAGCTAAAATGTGTTTCTGAAAGGTAATTAAAATCCTATCTACCATTGCTTTCTTTTACTATTACCTTAGTATCACTTAATTTGTTTTTCTGATGGTGCAGCTCAAGGATCCATATGGTTGGTATGATACTGATGAGGAAAAACAATATTGCTGGAGAAAACCTAAAAGATCAGAGTTTGAGTCACTCAGCAATATGTCACCATATCTTGCATTGTCAAATTTCACACAAGTGGTTACACTAGATGATATTTATGATGTTGACCCCAGAAAAGGTTCAGTTTGGCTCTCGAAAATTCTGTTGAAAATGTTGATGATTCTACTTACCAATTGTAATCCTTCCCTTTTCTTCTTCTCAGAGTTAAAATCATTTCCGCCACGAGAGGTAGATAGAGGATAGACAGAAACCGATATAAATTGTTATTTTTAACCCATGTCACCCTCCATACACCAATGAGAGACACTAAAATAAACAACGCCCTGGTGACTACAGCGCAGATAAACTTGACAAGCATTATTTCTTTCAAAATAGAGTTTTAGGCTGATTAAGCACGGAAAGTTGTGGCTTTCACTCTGAGCTCTTCTTATCTTGAGTCTGAATAAATGAAGCGTTTTTACTTTTTTTTTTTCTTCCAACCTTTCACACCATTTGGGCGGTACTGCTGTTCTAAATATCTAACGATGTTATTATTTATTATTTTTTTCCCTCTGAAAAAGAGCAATACAAAGTAGGCTATTTCGGTCTATCCACCCTGTTGAAAAAAACAGCATATGCTGGTTAGGTATGTTTTGACGCTGGGATGCTGGTTTAAGCTGGTCCTTTGCTGGTTTATGCTGGTCCTTTGCTGGTTTAAAATGGTCCTTTGCTGGTTTAAAATGGTCCCTTTGCTGGTTTATGCTGGTCCTTTGCTGGTTTAAGCTGGTCCTTTGCTGGTTTAAA